TGTGTGTGTGTGTGTGTGTGTGTGTGTGTATTGATATGCGTTGATACCGAAATTATGCATATACAATATTCCCCATTATTAATATTATTAATTTGTGGTAAATAAAGAAAAATCTATAAATATTAAAGCATCATAAAAGAAAAAGTTGCAACGAAAAGAGAATGATAATATCATCAAAAAGCAGAGGCCGACATGTTGCGTGCCACGCCTTTAGGAACCTATCTATAACTGGAAGAAGGACCACCTTGATTTGACGCACCGAAATTGGCCCATTTGTGAACTCAACTCTGCAATGGCCTCCTCCATGATAATTAATAGAAGCATTTACATACAACCCACTGACAAAAGAAAGTGTGGTCAGCAGTGCAGCACCTAAATTTTATTTCTTTTATATTTATACCACCTAAATCTTTTATATCACATTAAATTTTTTTTTTTAAATTTTGAAGAGTGAAATGCACCTTTTCATGGAAAGAAAAAGAAGGTGATATATATATATATATATATACGTTTTATGCAAAAATATGATAACATATATATATATATATATATGTAAAAATTTAATTTAGGTGTTAAATATGTACATAGGAATTGAGTTCTATGTATGTAAACCTTCACATGTAAATACATAGGAATTGAGTTGTATGTATGTAAACCTTCCAATTTAATATCTTAGTGAAGCACTTTTTGATCATATCCTCATCAGTTAGCCTTTTAATTTGTTCACAAATCCTTATATTCCTAAGAATAACTTTTAACGCCGCAACTTTATTTTTGATGAGTGTGTTGGCTATGATATTGTATACGGGAAAAGTATCAGCATAAATATCAAAGAGATCTGACGACACATATGTGATAAGAGATATTAAAGGAGGGCCCACTGACAGTATACTTAGAGGTCCAATTGTCCAATTGAGAATATCAATATCAAGACCAATCAAGGCAATCAAGCAACTCAAATGTTAACGGTTTGATCGAAAGCGTAGCCCCAGGGGATCCAAGTCATTCCCCATGATGAAACAGACCCAAGAGAGATACTAACCCCTCGGGCCCTGCATTTCTATTAGTGACACTAAACAGTCTCCTTGAACACCATCAATAGTCTATAAGATAAATCTTAGCCATGGATCCCTATGTATCTCTTCATCTAAAGGCTATTGCATATCAGATTACAATGATTTACTCTCTGCTCGATAGTTTAGCCCTGTTTTGCCGACAGAAGTTCCTCGTGATGGATCAAGTGTCATCTGCCATACTTGACTAACTGATCGACATGACTTAGCCGTCTGAGTCTGTATTGTCGGCCCTTTGCCAATAAAAAATCAGCTAGCCGATAATTTCAATTCTAACCGATCGACAACAACTATCAAACCTGACTGACCGGCGTGCCACTCTAGCTTAGCCAAGCGGTAGTGTTTACCAAGCTTAGCCAAGCGGTAGTGTTTACCAAGCTTAGCCAATCTACATCACCTACCATGGGATTGCTAGTCCAACCAGCCAAGCCTTAGCATGGCCACACTCTTAAGCCCATTTATGTAAAACACCTACAATAACCTGGACAACCCTCACTAAAGCATTTACATAAATATAAGTTCACATAATGTGCCTCTTTTTTTTCATGAACAGGGAATCATTTTATAAATATAAGGTTACAAATGTTTCTTAATTTATTATGCATCTTTATCTCTCCTTTTCCTTCTCTTTTAAATTCAATTTCTTGAGAATAATTCAGGGATAAATCAAATTTCAACCAATTGAATTATTAGGCCGGATTGTCTGCAAAGATGGCGGCTGAATTGAGGAATAGATGGGAACGACGGGACGATTGCCAACTAGCCATTTGATTAATTGACTCACTACGGGTACATGTTTCTTTTTTCCATATTACATAATTAATTCAAGCCAAATATCTAGCAAAATTATTGTTTGGAGCCACAAAAAGTGCATGTACATGCTATAAGCGGGATTTGTCATTATTGAAGGCCCTTGGAACCATGTGGATCATAAATGAAACAAGGAATTTTCATGCATTCCACCCAATTCGTATTTATTTACATATCTAAAACCTTATACATTTATACTAACCCAGATTTTCACCTCAAATAAAAAAAAAAATAAATTTTCATTCATAAATAAGATGACATATATGTAAAAAATAAAATTTAGGTGTTAGATATGTAAATAGATAAAAATTGAGTGTTATGCACGTAATCTTCTAATACAAAAAAAATGAAAAAATTACATACATACCACAAAATGTTTATGTATTACACAATTTTTATGTTAAATCCTATGTACGTGATCCTATGTACGTGAACGGTAAAATTTCATTCTAAAAAATTTATTTAAAGTTAAATTTATTATTAAATATAATAATTTGAGTGGCTTGTATGCAACTTTGAAAGTTTAGATGTTAAATATGTAATATATAAAATTTATGTTGTGTACATAAATGCCTCATAAAAGATCATCAATTTAAACTATAGCACTTGAAACTTTATTATTTATAAAACTAGCACCCTCTTTCATCCGTTTTTCAAATTCTCACTCAAATGTCAAAATTCATATTTTTTATTGCTATCAAATTTCCATTGTTTTGATCATGCATGCCTAAATGCACCCCCTTCTTAATTTTTTTAAAAAATAATGTATATCACACCTAAATAAATTAATGACAACAAAATATAATAACTTATTAAGTATAAATATCAAACATTCAGTGTGAAATTTGTTATATATATTATTTGCTATATATATATATATATATATATGTATATATGTAAATTTCCCAAGTTGCATGCGGGTCCACCGCCTCCTCCGCCTCCCCTCGACGATGACGCCGCAGCTGATAAGCGGCCTCAAACGCACCAAGTATTATAGCTTAATACTATGAGTAGAGTAATTGCATATGCCTCTTGACAATGATGAAGTATATACAATAAGGAAAAAAAAAAAAAACTTATATATAATTGGGATTTATATTGTTCGTATGTCACAATTTATATGGTGTCAGAAATGAATTCTTTAGTGAACATCAAATTTTAAAGTATATTTTTACTATAATACAAATTTAAGATAAGCCAACTTTAATTAGAATTTCCATATATGCATGTAATTAATAATACCTGTAAATTACTATTAACAAAATGTATAATATTCATAGTAATTTTTAGAAACTCAATTACTTCATAACAATTTCACATCAAATTTTACTATATATCAACACTACAGACATTCCAATCGAAATCACAACGCAGTACAGCTTTCCATTTGTAATGAATCCAGCTGCCTGCGCACATATTAATCACTCGATTAAGAAAGCTTAATCCGTAATTAATATTTAGCAAACACGCACAACACATCGAAGAACACGCAGCAATTACTAGAAAACTAAGACGGGGAGTCCTAATTACATATCAGGGAGCATCACTGGCGGCCGTCCGGCTGGCGGAGGAGGAAACAGCGTTGAGGATAGCGAGAGCATTACTGGTGAGATGAGCGACGTTGACAACACGCCCCCTCACCGCCGTCTTCACGCTCCCATCCATCGACTTCCCACCGAATCCGTCCATGCAGGAATCGTCATCCGTCAGCGCCGCGCTCACCCACGTCTGTATGCTGTTGATCTTATAACCCAAATCCTTCCCATCACGCATATTGCTCATCTCGCTCAAGGAGTCCTTCAGTTGGCCGATTGAATCGCCGAGGTTCTCCATGCAATCGCTCATAGCTCCCGACTCACGCGGGCTCATACGCCCGCCGGCGGCCGACATGGACTTCATGGCGGGGGGGGGCGGCCGAGCGGGCGCCATCGAGGGTGACGGAGAGGGCGGTGTGGGCGAGGAGCATGGGGTTGCTGTTGATGCTGCTTGAATAGGAGGTTAGGGAGCTGATGCAGAGGTCCGGGTATGTTGTGGAGCTGCACGCGCTTCTTACGAATAGCTCCGCTGTGTTTGTGGATGAGGCCGGTTTGTTCACGTTGGCTGGGAGTGGTCTGGCTGCTTCGGATGGGTTTGTGTGCGTGATCAGCAGAATGAGGGTGATCAGGAGTATTCTTTGGATTGGATTAAGAGAGGCGGTTCTGAGAAATTGGGGAGCGGATGGCGCCATTAATTCAGCTTGAGTTGTGTTGGAAGTTCTCCTTGGTTGTGGGGGTGTGCTGAGTTCATTTTATATAGGCAGGGGATGTATGAAAGAGCTGAGCCCGCATGCAGCTTGAGGATGCATAAAAGGAATTAAGGGAAATTTACATAAATATAGCAAATAATTCTTATGTATTTACAGATCTGACACTGAATGTTAGATATTTATACTTAATAAGTTATTATATTTTGGTGTCATTAATTTTTTAATGGATTTTTTTTTGTTAACCCTAAAAGTGCTTCTGATTCGACCATTATTGGATCATCAATTATGAATACCGACTGATACTGATGGCTAATTAACATTTTATTTTTCATCTAACAATCATGAGTGTAGTCCGTCAGAAGATAAAAAGTCTTCGGTAAATGCATTGCTCGTTCATTTACCGACAAGCTATTTACCTACGCTCAATAATCTATCGCGAAGATGTCAAAAATTTATTAACCGACGATTTTATAATATTAATTGATGATTTTTTATTGTTGAAAATAGACTAAATGTATGTAGTGTTTAAAAGCATAGTCATGAGGATATTTTTTTTGTGACCTTAAATATTTGAGTGATATGCGTGTAAATATGAAAGCTTAGGTATGGATACATAACAATTGTGTGATATGTTTGCAAATGCACCTTGAATTACTTGTTTGCTTAATTACAAAGTTAGGCTTTGGATGCGTTAGGGTGTGACTTGAGTTGGGGATATATTATGCGTTTGGATGAACCTAATTTGAGGATGAATGAACGCAACATTTGATGGCTAAGATGGTATGTGAGAAGAGACCTTTGAGAGGATTCTTAGAGTTTCCTGAGCAGATTATAAAGAAAATTGTTAGTGGTCCTTACAAAAAAGCTCTTAAGAAAAGGCACAAAAAAATTAATGTGATATGAACATCTTGGGTGGTATAAACTTAAAATGTAATGTTTTAAATGTTAAATATGTAAATACGTAAGAATTGGGTGGAATGTGTGAAAATTCCCAGTTTCATTAATGAGCCCCATGGGTCGAAGAGCCTTCAATAATGACAAATCCGGCTTATAGCATGTCCATGCACTTTTTGTGGCTCGAAACAATAATTTTGCTAGATATTTCGTTTGAATTAATTATGTAATATGGAAAACAGAAATATGTCCACATAGTGAGTCAATTAATCAAATGGCAAGTGGCTAGAGTCCCTCTCGCTCCCTCCCATCTAATCCTCAAATGAGGCACCATCTTTATAGATAAAACCCAGCCAAATAATTTAATCCGACCCGTTACGATTCCCATATCATCATATCTCCGACACTCATCAGAAGTAAAATTGTGTTGTTCAAAATTTTTAATTTCTTCTCTTACAATTATAGAATGTTGCAATTACATGCAGTTTGATGCCAAGTCAATGTAAGAGATGACGCGACACTTCAACAATGCCGGCGGCTGCGAACAACTCGGGGCAAGTTGCGCTGTCACTATTTACTTTTTGGGCACGTGGAGTTGGATGATGGATGGGTCCCCAAATTTCAGTCTTCTTTGTCCAATATCAAGGAGGACTAAGTTTTGCAAGAATATTTTAAATTTGTTCAAGGAAGAATGTATTTATAAATAATTAGATTACTTAGGTTCATGTTGATTGAAATGGTATATTTTAAGAAGACTTTCCCAACATGAGTTCCAAAATTTTATTATGATGAGAATTTAATAGCCGCCAGAAAGAAATATTACATACGGTTCCCAGCAAATTATTACATATGATTCGCACGTGCGAACAATAATGATAGATGAGTACACTTACAGTAAAATTAAAGTGAAGCACATCATGCAGACATGCATAATATATTTTTTTTTTTGAGACGAAAATATTTTGAAATGTTTTGCTTTAATATCTTAGGTTTTGAACTCCAAGATCATTGTTATTCTTATGAGAACACAATAATTTAGACTATCAATTGAAAGATCTTTTGTTCAAGGTATTAACTTTTCATGCAGCAAGTTCGGCTTACACGGCCATCAAACATAAATATATAAAAGTGGTCAATGTTAGCTTTATTTTAATTAACACCAGATTCAATGGACCGACGGAACTAAACAAGCCGCCTATGAGCACAAGGTATTAACTTTTAATTAACACCATTTCAATAAGAGACCCAATGAATCCTTCACAAGTCAGCTGATAGTTCAAATTCCAGACTATAATAAGGCTACTTGAACTTCTTTATCATCGAATTTGTTTTGCTTATTATGCAACATTTTCTTAGAGTACTTAAGGGCTTAGAATTCTGCCAAGGAATGGTGGATTATAGAGAAAATGTTCTCGCATTTTTTTTTTTTTTTTTGTATTGAATCTCTTCCTTGTCTTTCACTTTGATCAGCAGGGTTCAAATGCGATTCATGATAAATTAAATGTGTTGTATACTTGGATTTGATATTTTCTTAAGTGAGGAATTTATATTTTTTGATAGATAAATGCTTCTAAGGCTTTTAAGAATTTAGATATGCTAAAAATTAATTGGATATTTTCTGAATATTTGTTCTAAATGCACAAACCAAAATACTAAACAGTTTATCCAGAATAGAGATTGAATGATCAGTTATCTAGAATAGGGATTGAATGATCATTTATCCAGAAACAACTACAAATCAATTGCTTTCCAAACTCACAAACAACCACACAATTATCTAGATAAGCTGATGATCAATAGTTTATCAGAATAAACTGCTTATTTAGATAAGCTATATAAACTGCAGCTGCCCCAAACAAACCCATAATCCTTTTAAGGATCTATCACTTATATTCAAAACCCTAATATACTAATTCAACTATATATATATATATATATGTGTGACCAATATAAATTTAATCACTAAAACACTTCTTTACAAAATGATCGTTTCTTTAAATTATTTTTTATTGAACTATTCTAAACAAAGAGGTCGCAATATATGAAAATTGCTCAACAAACTGTTCCTAATAATTACGGAAATTTACATACATAGCAGATAATTCTTACGTATTTATATATCTAACACCTAAATATTGATATTTATATTTGCCTACCACTCAAATCATTAACATCAAATCAAAGATATCATCATTATTACCTTTTTAAAAGTGAAATACATTACATGAATATATTATAACTGTAAATATCAAACCTTTGAAGCTAGATATGTAAATACATAACAATTGTGGGGTATTCATGTTAATTACATGGACCCGCTCGCATCATTCATAGAGACAACGATTGGATTGCTGCCAGTGGGATTTATCATTCAATGCATGCAACCGAGAACATTACAGAGACAACGAAAAAATATTACATCAAAACTCCTAATGCATTCGGAGTCCAATGGTGAGGCGTCACGTGTCAAGTAGGATTCATCATTTTTAACACTGGTCAATATCAGTGTATAACGTTGGGACTCACTTGACACGTGACGCCCTGATGCAATATTTTCTCTAGAGACAACATGTTCACAAAAAAAACTTGAGTCTTAAGAGATTCTATAACAGAGATATCTCTCTTGTTGCCCTCTAATTGTCCCTAAAGCTTCTGTACTTTTTTCTAATTACACTTCATTGATTTCTTTAGCTCTTTCTATTGCTTCTCGCCATTCCACTCAATTCCCATGCATGCATGCAGGGTGTAGTCCATGTGAATGAAAAAATTATTTTAAATATAAATTAATCTGTGGTGAATAGCTTTATTATTATTATTCAGTACAAAAGAAGAACATAAATTCCCAAGCTAAGTCCAGCTTCAATAAAACAAGATAAAACACAAGTCTGACTGCCAAATATCCCAACTTCAAAATGCAAAGAAAATAAGAACAAGAAAGAAATAGCATAATTTGAAATAAGGAATGATTTACATACATACCACTCGATTCCTACGCATTTACATGTCCAACACCAAAATTTTAATTTTTAGGCACGACATCTCACCGATATAGCCGACCCCACATAGTGGGATTAAGGATGATTTGTTGTTGTTGTTGTCATCTCGCCGAAAAGGTGTATTTCTTCAATTTTTTAAAAATTAAGATGGTGCTTTTTTTTAAGTGGCATTAATGTAAAAAGGTAAAATTTAGGTGTTAAGCATGTAAAAAACATAAAAATTGGGCGGTATGAATGTAAATGCCCCTATAAATAGGAAACGTTTTGAAAACAAAAATTAGGCAGTTCTCTTAGGAGACATGTTTTGCAGAAGAAGAGCAGTGGTGATTATAGCTAAAATATGCAGAAAAATACCTGCCAAAAACCAGATTGCAAATCAGAGGCACAAGTTCGGGAGAAGGTTATATATGAAAGCAGCAAGTAAAAGGCAGACTAACCGAGCAGAATGTAAAAGATCTCGCCCAACTCGTAGCTTGTAATGGATGAGAAATCTTTTGCTTTGGTAACCTGTTATCATTGAAGACTATTTTAACTGATATTAAAAGTCTGAGGACTAAATTGACACTTTTATAAACGGTCACTTAAATTATCTATAGTAAAGAGTTATGGGACCATAATGTGACACTATTCTCGCATTAAAATGATCCTTTGACTATTCACATGAGAGCTAATCTATAAGTGTCAAATTAGTCCCAATGCTTTTTGATGAGGGCCGAAATAGTTCCATTTTAAAAGAGTCAAGAGACTAATTCAGTTCATATTAAAAAAATTATGATGATTAATTTAACATTTTTATGAACTTTGAAACTAAAATAATCCTCTATAAAGAGTCAAAAGGATCATATTAGCACTTTTCTCAAAAAAATTGTAAGACACAGCTAAGAAGAAAAATCATGCATAATACTTATTATAATGTCCTTTGTTTAAAGAAAATAAATATGGAGGATTTGTTTTTAGCTGCCAGACTTATAATAGAAATGGCGAGGGCATAGGAAGGGAAAACAACACAATAAACTTAAGGGGAAGAAACAAGGAGTGGAAGAATGACAAAACAATCAACAAGCTACATAAAGAGTATGTTGATATGCATAGCCAATTTAGAAAACTGTGGAAAGCTATTATATTTGAGGGGGAAAAATTATCCTCTCTTAATTATACATCATTGTGTTTTTATTTCTTCCTTTGGCTTGATTTTCGTCAAATTGTATGAGGGTTAGGCTGAGCTGTATATATATTTGTTATTTACTTAATGAGAAAATTAGAAAGTTCATTTCTCCTAAAAATCTATATGATATTAAAGTAAGGAAACAAATCCTAGCTCAGCTTTCAGCCCTTGGAGCCTATTCAACAGCCCTCGAGCCGTTCCAATCTTCCCTGTAGTTTTCAGAATTCCTCCGTTCTTGCAGTAGAACTCTCCTAGGCAGTAACAGCGGTTTTCTCCAAATAGCAACAATGTACTCCCCAAACAACGCTTTGGTTTCATCCAGGCAAAAGCGGTCTCCTCCATGCAGCGACGGCCTCCTCCAGGGCATCAACGTTGAACCAAATCACATAGAAGTCCTTGGGGCGATTTTCTTTCTCTAGAGAAAATGAACTTGGCCGTTCAATTTTCTCTTTCCAGCAAAATTCACAGAGAGGCTTTGGTGGTCGATTTTTTCAATCTCAAGTGGAAAGATCTCGGTGCCCGATTTTGTACCTCTAGTACAAATTCTGTGTCAGCAATAGAAAATTTCCCTTTTCAATGTAAATCCTGTGTCGAACGATAAACAGTTTCTTATTCTAGTAGAAATATTGTGTTGGTGACAAACAATTTATCTTTCTAGTGGAAATCATGTGCGATGAGGCGATTTCTCTTTCCGGAGTAAATTCTCTTGAGAGGATAAATACTTTCTCTCTCTTTAGAAGTTAATTCTGAATTTGAGCCTAAGATGTTTGGTTCTACAACATCTAAAACAATTGTTGAACAGAAGAGAACCATCAAATTTATTCTAGGATTCAACAAGAAGTTAGATAAAGTAAGAATAATGGAAACCAAACCACTTCTCTCAATTCGGAAAGCATTTGCTAAAGTACAAAGTGAAGAGAGCAAGAAGAAACTCATGATGAAAAATAATTCCACTACATCAAATCTAAACAACTAGACTTTGTACATTTACAAATCACCTCAGTACAACAAATCAAAGAGAAACACAACATGGTGTGAACATCGCAAGAAACTTGGTCATTTAAAGAAGAAGTGTTGGAAAATTTATGAAAAACCTGCAAATCCAAAGCCCAACATAGTCAAAAATGATGAGCAAAATCAAACAAACAAGGCATCAAAGAAAAACAAGCCTCACAAACATAGTTCATTTAATAAGGAACAACTTGAAGCTCTCCAAAGAATTATGAGACTATCCTTTGAACCTTCTCTACTAGTCATCTAGCACATCAAGATAGTTTCCATCTGCTCTTCCTGCTCTCAACATGAAGAATCAACTTTGGACAGTGGACTTTGGAACATCCAACCACATGACAGATGATATCACTGTTTTTCAATCATTCCATTCTTGCAAACACCACGTTGTAGTTAAAACCACATAACTCCCTCTTGTTTGTCAAAGAAAGGGGAAGTGTGAAACTCATAAAGGATCTTATTGTTCAATATGTGTTTTCTATTCCTAAAGTTCACTGTAATTTAATGTCTATAAAAAAAATCACTCGTGAAATGAATTGTTTTACTAAATTCTACAATAATTTGTGTTAATTTTAGGTGACAGACTCGGAAAAAAGAGATTGGCAGTGGCAATATGTATCATGGATTTTATTTGCTCGCTAAGATTCTCACTTAAAAAAAAAAAATCATACTATCATTCACGATCCTTTGAGTCAAGTCTTATATCTGAGTCTGTTACGACATTATTTATTAAGACATCCTCACTTCTTGCATATTAAAAAAAATTATTCCCATTTATTTATCAATAGAAAGTCTAAATCTTATCAATGTGAAACATACTCAACAAGTGCACTCAATATTGACATACAAACCAACACATCCATTCTCCATGGTTCATAGTGATATTTGGAAGCTCTCAAAAATTAAAAATACAAATAGGGCTAGATGGTTTCAACCTTCATTGATGACCCCACTAGAACCACTTGGACCTCTCTCATGAAGGAAAAATCTGGAATTGTCAGTACATTTGAAACATTCCACAACATGATCCTTACCCAATTTCAAATTAAAATTCAAATTCTAAAAACCGATAATGCAAAAGACTACTACAACTCCACTCTCAGCTTTTATTGATCCAAAAATTATATCATCCAAATAAGCTATTGTGTTGGCACACCCCAACAAAATGATGAGGTTGAGAGAGAACATACATCTCCTTGAAATGGTCCGATCAATTTTATTCATTAACAATGTACCCAAACACTTATGGGGTGATGTGATTCTCACATACACCTATCTCATAAATAAAATGCCCAACAAAATGCTAGAATTTAACAAGTCTCTCAAAACCGTCATAAAATCCTACCCACACATATTTAGTATTTCACCTCTAACCTACCACTTTAAATTTTTGGTTGCATCTCTCTTGTTCATCTACATCAACCTAATCAGACCAAACTTAATTTCAAGTTAATCAAAAGCATATTTGCAGGTCACTTTTCAAACCAAAAGGGGTATAAATGACACTTCATAAAAACAAAAAATTTACAGCTACATGGATGTCACCTTCTTTGAAAAAAGCAATATTACCTAAAATTGAACATTCAGGGGGAGAGTTGGAAAGAATATCATATTTCAAAAAACTTTTAAGAACCTCAAACTCACCTCCCTTAAATCTCTGACGAACCCACTTTTGATCCCACTATCACAAATCAACCTGTTACTCCACTAAATCCTTCATAGCTCCTAACGAGAACCAAGAACTCCGTGTGTACACCAAAAAGAAAAAATCCAGTGAGCATATAAGGGACAATATAGGAAATCAGGAATGCAAATCACCAGAACCGACTCCACACACCATAAGTATTCATATAGAGGTTGGATCAAAGAATTACATCATAAACAACAAGAGAAAGAATAAGCACAAAAATGCACAAAATACCTGATAGAAGAATTTGTGATATCTAAAAAATTATCATTCTCTTATAAGTCTTTCGTGTACAACTTAGATAAAATGTAGGTTACAAATTCAATCCAAGAGGCTTTATCCATTCCTGTTTGGAAACAGGTTATGGAAGAGAGATTTGCTTTAAAAAACCATTTAGATCAAGTATGTGGTAAAGGATGGTCCCTTTATATTGTGTGCAGGTTGATTTTTTGCTTGTTTTTTTGTTGGTTTTTCGGTTTGGGTTCTCTTTGCTTCTGCTTGTTGTCCTGGAGTTTGGTTATGATTTGTTTATTGTGTTTGGCTTTGACTTATGGATGTTCTTTTTATTAAGCCCATTATCTCAAGTCGTTGTGGAGTTATTATGTCTCTTTTATTTTTCTCTACTTTGTGGTCTAGTATTTTGCTTTTTGTGAGTGTAAAACCTATAAGAGATGGTTCCATAGGTTTTAATTTGTGTACTTTGCATTTTGGGTGTAGCAAGAACTTTCAGTCGACCATTGTATCCTTGTTTTGATAATAAAATTCTCTTTGAGGTTTCCAAAAAAAAAAATCTTATTAACCATAAATAAAACATTCAGGGGGAGGGTTGAAGAGGATATCATATGGGATAACATTTAGGAACCTCAAACTCACCTCCCTCATATCCCTGATAAATCCACTCTTGTTCCCACTATCACAAATTAACTTGAAAATAAACCTATTACTCCACTAAATCCTTTTACAACTCCCACCAAGAAACAAGAACTACATGTGTACACCCGAAAGAATAAACCCAGTGAGCATGTAAGAAGCAATATGCAAAATCAAGAATGCAAATCACCAAAACTAACTCCACGCACCCCAAGTATTCATATAGAGGTTGGATCAACACATCATGAACACACAGGAAGAATGAGCACAAAAATGCTTATGCGATAGAAGTTGTGACATGAGAAATTATCATCCTCTTACAAAATTTTTATTCAAAACTTAGAAAATGTGCACGTCCCAAATTCAATACAAGAGAACTTAATTATTCCTACAAGAGATTTTTCCCATAAAAAGAATAGTACATGATTCATAAAAACATTCTCTTACAAATTTTTATTCAGAACTTGGAAAAAGAATTGTATGGTGCAAATGGTTATTCATTGTTAAATACAAATTAGATATGAGCATAGAAAGGTTCAACGCTAGACTTGTAACAAAGCTTGATCCAAAGAAGACATGGTCTATCACAAAAGAAAATATATCCTTGACCTAGTGAAGGAGACATGAATGTTGGGTTGCAAACCAATAGATACTCCAATGAATCCTAATCAACTAGCATCAAAAGAAGAGGATAACACCCCAGTTGAAAAAGTGAAGCATCAATGATTTGTGAGGAAACTTATTTACTAGTCACATACAAGACCTGATATTGCTTTTTCTGTGGGTATAGTAAGCCAACATATGAATGATCCAAATGAAAACCATTTAAAAGAGGTCATTCAAATCCTAAGATACCTAAAGATGATTCCAATACATGGATTGATATACAAGAAGACTGAGAACAGTGAAATTGAGATATACAGTAATGCTAGCTGGGCAGGTGAACTGACTGAGAAAAGATCTATCATGGATTGTTATTCCTTTATATCAGGTAACCCTATTACTAGGAGAAGTAAAAAGTAAGTTGTGGTGGCAAGAAGCAGTGAAGAATCTAAGTATCATGCCCTGAACCTAGAAATTTATGAAGAGATGTGGCTAAAGAAACTACTAGTGGAACTTCACATGAAGAACAAAAACACTATTAAGATGTTCAATAACGGTCAATCAACAATCAATATTTCAAAGAATCCAGTATACAATGATTGAACCAAACATATAGAGATTGACATGCACTTCATCTTTGAGAAGGTCAATGGAGGCCTTGTTCATCTAAGCTATATCCCAACTCAGTATCAAATTACTAACATTCTTATCAAAGTATTTCCTCAACACCACTTCAGTGATCAAAGCAACAAGTTTGGATATGTATGGCATACAACCCCACTTGAGCAACATTGATATGCATATCTAATTTAGGAAATTGTGGTCTGTTATTGCATTTGAGAGGTAGAAATTATTCTCTTTTAATTATCCATTATTGTGTTCTCATTTCTTTCCTTTTTTTATCGTGATTTGATTTTCCCTTCAATTGTATGAGGGTTAGGCTAACTTGCATAGATATCTGTTATTTATTTAATGAGAAAATTTGAGATTTCATTCCTCCAAAAAAATCTACAAGTATTAAATAACACAAAATCCTTATATCCATTTCTTATCAATCTCTACAGGAATAAAGCTTTTACCACACATTTTGAACATATAAACAAAGTGAAAGCTGCAAAATTTAAATTTTTGTAGAAGCATTAAAGCATACCTAAGTTATGTTTTTCTCAAAAATTTAAAGGCTAACAGCAGCTATTTAAACATAGACACAAATCTGTCAGAATACCTCAAGGATATAAAATTTTCATGGTAAAAGAAACAAGTTTTTCTCCAAAAATTTATATAGTGAAGTTAAAACTGTTAAATGTTTGAGACTCTTATGTTTTCCATCCAGGAGTGAAAACAGTTAGCAAAGATTACTCGTCGGTAAATTTATAACAAAATAGACAATAGATATAACTTGTTCTTTTGAAAAAAAGAAGAATAAGTTACCTTAAAGAATAAATCACTCCTAACTACATGTGCTGCAGTAAACGCGATTGCAATAGCCAACAAACTGAGATAGAGTCTCAATAAATTTGCCTGACTGCGCCTACGACCTTCCCAAAAAGAAAAGAAAAATAGAAATACAATATTCAAAATATAAGATGTCTAAAAAGATAAGATAAAAATTGCCATACCTAATTCTCCGATCAAAAGAGAGATGAACCCAATGGAAACAGATACAACTACAAGGTTTTCAAACCCTCTCTCTTGCGATGCAAGTAAAACTAATAGAGAACCAATAGCTTGAAGGACACCCTGCATTAATATTCAAATAAATAGCTTAGTTTTTGATAAAACAGTTAAATTGATCTACTGGCTCTTTGTAAGGGTTCAATTTAATCCCAAAGTCTATAAAATTGTCAATTTAGTCTCCAAATTTTTTTACTGAGGGCCAAAATAGTCTTTCTCTGTGGACTACTTTGGCACTTTAATAAAATGAGAGAAAACCAGCCCTTCATCTGAATAACCTATGCGCTTATAAATTCTAGTAGCAATATCAAATGATAAGAACAAATAAACATAATTCTAAATAACACATAAACCCTAAGCGGCTAATGGTGAATCTTTTTGGGGAGTGTAGCATTATTGTAAACATAATTTAGAACAAATAAACTAGCATAAGTTCACAACATATAAACTATTATTTCATATTCCAACCGTAATACCATCCTCCAAAACTAATGATGATTAACATCACAAGGTTTTACAAAAACAGTAAGTCCATCGCCATTGGTCCAAACTGAGAATGTAACTAAAAAAAAAGGCATATGGGCGCATCTTAAATAAAAAATATATATATTTTTTACTCGTCCTTCTGATTTTGCAGGTAAACGATGAAGCAAAAAAACACAAAAGGAATGGAAATTAACCTGCACTATAAGTAGGGCTTTGAGGCGCGCCTTACCCTTAGCAACCTTAGTGTATCCTGCAATCATGAGCAGAATTTAATGAAGGTTCAATTTTTAAACAGCGATCAAGACTTCTGAAGCGACACTCACTGGAATCGACGACCATGCGGTAAGAGTAATCGTAACCATCGGTTCCCGTTGGCCGGCCGGCAGCGGCTTTCCTCTGCAGCATCTACGATCCTTCGATCCAATCTAGGGGATTTTTGGTACCCAGGAGTTGAGTAGGATTTAACCTATATCCTACCAAACAGAAAAAAATGACATCTTTAAACCTAAAGGTTCTTAAATCCCGCTTTTCCTCCGTTTTGCCTTGAGTAAATCCCGCTGGAAGACGGATTTACGGGATTTAGAATCTGAAGCGCGCGAAGGCGGTTGGGAAGAAGGGGGAGGAAGATGAGCGTTACCTTCCTCAATGGTTTCCGTTAGGAGCGGAGCTGAAGGAGGAGAAAGATCCCGTGGTTGCCTTTCCAACCAGCTCGGAAAGAAGTAAAGTGATTAGTTAAAAAAAAAAAAATCAGCCCAGTGTGTTGTTCATGTATTATTGTGTGTTATTCATGTGTTATTGATATATTATTGTATTATTATAACAACAAAAATATTCTCAGGACACAATAATACATGAATAACACACAATAACACAGGGAATATTCCTGACAAAGAAAAAAACAACGCAATAGCATGGGAGAATATTCTCCCCTGTGTTATTCATGTGTTATTGATGTGTTATTGTGTGTTATTGTGTTATTATAACACAGTGAATATTCCCAGGACACAATAGCATATGAATAACGCGCAATAACACGTGAATAACACGGGAGGAAATATTCCCCATGTTACTGCGCCGTTTTTTTTTCTCAATCGCACAAAGTGTCGTGACATGATTTCATTGGCTACGCATGTTACTTTACGTGCGTAGTACTAATGTATTACCCACCTCTAATCGCGGCTGTATCAAAAGTTTTCGAAGTCCTGACCTAATACTTTTTCCGGCTTTGGGGGGGGGGGGGGGTTTTGGCTGCTTTTATTTTAATTTTAGTGCAGTTTAATTTCATTAATTTAATTTAATAAATTATCAAATTATTTATAGTTAGATAGATTAAGTAATTATTTACTAATTAATTAAAAATAAATTACATATTAATTTTTTTTTAAAAATTAATAATGATTAAATATTGATTAACATGATTATTAAAAACTATAACTAAATTTAATTAAATTATAGGATTATAACATTAATATACATATTAGACTCATTTCAACAATTAAGTCTGAAATCCTAAGATTAATATTCAAATAATTTTAAACAATTAATCAAATTTAATATTTATACTAAACATCTTTCAAAATTTACTAAAATGCAATTTTACAAAATTTTACTGAATCTTAATAGGATTGTAATTCGTACATTATGAGGTCATGTGAAGATTTGTAGACTGGGATTTGGATCCTATACCAACACAAAAAGATGGCTACCCTCGAAGAGTGAATATTAAGTGCAGACATATTTGCAGACCATAATACTACCATCTATGAATACCACTCGATACTACCCCAATACCTCCGATCCATTCTTAGGGCCCGTTTGTTGCACTTTATTTGGCGCGGCGGCGTTTGAAAACGCACATGACCTGTTTAGTTAAAGTACATTTTGACAACTTATGCGTTTTCAAAACACTAAAAACAACATTTTCACACCATACATTTCTAAGTGCGGTGACAGCTTTCTGGCTCCTGTCAAAATTTTTCAAAAAAATAAAAATTTATAATAACCACCACACCTAATTTATCAGCAGATTATTTTTAATCAGCTTATCAGCAGATTATTCAATAAGTTATAGTTGCCTCAAACAAACCCTTAGTCCGCACCTATTTCACCCACAGTAGTTTTTGCCCCCATCGAGTGGGCTTAAGTTTGGGTCTCAAGTTCCCAAGATATGAGATTCAAGGAAATTGGTGAGTGATATAATCTATTTATAACACTTAACAGTACAGACATAAGTTATCAAATAATAATGCTTTTTCTACGCACAGAAATCCTTGTTGGAGATGATTATAAGAATGATAAAACCAATAACTAAGGTAACCAAATACTATCATCAATCATACATTAATTAATTAAGCTATGGCTGTAGCCTATAAGCAAGCAGTAGCCTTTGAATGCATGAATGTTTGAAGGGCTATAAATAATAAATTTACTTAAAATCCCACCATTAATAGATAAATAATAAAAATTAACAACAACAACATTTCTGATCACAAGAAATCATAAATACACCGGCACTACACAAATTCAGGATTTCCGAGCCTTATTGCTCAGAAAGATAAAACAAGAGTTAAGGCTCCCAAGAAAGGGTTAAATGTGGACAAGTCTCTTCTATTTCTGCAAGAATTTCTGAAACAAAGTTTAAATCCTGGTATTTTTGTAACTCAAACCCACATGAAACTTACCAAATGGCCGGTTCAATGATTACATACAACCAAGTTTTGAAAACAGAAACTTGAAAAAGCCTGAAAACAAAAGTTCAATAAGCACTCGTAAATCATTAAAATAGAAACGAAAAGCGGCAGTTCAAGTCATGGGCTCCCATAATTAAAAAACTTGAACTAGCAGAAGTGCATAAATCTCTTTTTATCTCATCTGCACAATTCCAGCACTAATAAGCTTCTGAATCTTAGTCATAACTTGGGGGTTCTTCAGGTGGTCCTGTGAAGCCTTGGGGTTTTCTTGCAAATCAACCAGAACCTGATAGTAAATTTCAAAATCAAATGCAACCCAGTTCCAGAAAACTCATTCATATAGAGAGAGGGGCTTCAGCCAAAAAGTAAATAGGAAAATTTACATACATACATGCTGACTCAATTCTTATGTACTTACATTTACATATCTAATAATTACCTAAACTTCAATTTTTACACATATATGAAAAAGTGAATTAAAATAATGGTATTTTTTATGTGATATGAAAGATTTAGCAGGTAAAAATGTAAGAAATCAGAGTTTCGGTGTTAAATATGTAAATATATAGGTGCCCTAAGGTAATAATACCTGACGCATTATGGGATCAGATAAGATGTTCTGTATCTCAGGATCCTGCATTGCCTTTGCCTGTTGAAAATAATATAAAATTTGAAACTACATATAATGAAAGATAAATATAAGTAATTTCTCCTGCAGGAAATAATAAACACACCTGTCTTTCCTTCAACTCCTCTGGGCTAATATCACCCCTGTTTGTCCTATTGATCTGCTGAATGCAACTGTAGACAGACCGAAGATACTAAGCTTAGTAATAAGCATCAGAAATTATCCATACCACTCAGTTCATATGTATTTTAATATTCAAGGCCTAGACTTTACTTTTTTACATTTATGCAACCCAAATGTTTTACCTCACCTAAAAAATACCACTTTTTAAAATTTTAAAATAGTTAAATACACCGAATGCACAGGAAAGATGGTATAAATATAAAAAATGATTTAGTTTAGTTGTTAGATATGTAAATACATAGGAATTGAGTGGTGTGTATGTGAATCTCTTGTTTTTTCCCTTTTCTAACTATCAGCTATAAAGTTGAAGGAGTACTATCATATTACCTCCGCACACCATCCATAAGTTCCGGATTTTTAGGGTCATGCTTCAGGCCTTCCTGATATGTTTCGAGTGCTTTGTCATATTCTTTCATAAAGAATTGAACGGCACCTTTCCTCGTGTAACCTTTGGAAAATGATGGATCCAATTCGATGCACTTTTCTGCGTCCTTTAATGCCTCGGGCAACGCCCCCAACTTCGTGTAACAGGCCGCACGGTTGCTGTAAGTCTAAAATAACAAATAAAGTATGATATTCAGAACTATATAAAAATAATTACAAGGAAATATATCCTATTTAATGCTCGTTTAATAGTATAGTAATAATAAATGATAATATATTCAGGGGTAACTGTGTTTACTTCTCTAATATACAATTAATATGATATATATCTCTCAGCTAAAATTATACTTTTATTTTTCTATTAATATCCAAGAAAGTCTAACTTCACATCTAATATATTCAAGGGTAACTGCGTTTACTTCTCTAATAGACAATCAATATTAAATATATCTCTCAGCTAAGATTATACTTTTATTTTTCTATTAATATCCAAGGAAGTCTAACTTAACATCAAACTTGGGAGAAGTGTAACTTCAGAAAATGGATAATACATTATTTTACAGCAATTGAGGGAGTAAAATCTAAGAGAACGTGAGATGGGTAATAAATCCCATCTCCTCTTAATTTTAAATTATATATATATATATATATATAAATTCACACACATAGATACATACATACATACATACATACATACATATATATATATACATACATATAT